TTACTCGAGGTTCTCAACGTTAGCTCACATCGCACAAAGTTCATGGGAGCCTTCGGAATATAGAAGTGTGGCTGAAAGAAAGCAAGTGAGATCTATTGTAGAGAGTGTGTCGTGAGACATCTAACCTGTAGACATGACCCCAGACCCAGACAGACATGGATGGAAAAAGAAAAGTGATACCAGAACCGCGCCAAGAAGTCTAGATGTGAGCCAGTCCATCAATAGGAAACCGCGTGCATGTCCCCATCTTGACTCATTCGACAGCTAAGAAACGTCGCCAAAAGAAAAGAAAAAAACACCAATGAGGCAGTTCCCCGTAAGAGGAAAAGGTAGGTCCATGCAGATCATAACTCCAAAAGATCAACTCCCCATGCGTATGCTCACAAAACCCCCGAGTGGCAAAAACCACCTCGGCCACTTCGATTGGTCCAATTGACCAATGAGTCTTTGCAAGTTCCGTCTAATCCAGCTCTTCGACACATGACAATTGGGTCGAGATTTGACTTGTCAGAGCTGTATCGGACGATTCTTTTCGTTGACCACTTCTCGAGAGCGAAGCGGCGACGTAAAAACACGACTCCTCGTCGAGGAAGCTCTCAGGCGACCCTGACCTTGACCTGCTGTAGAGGGCAGTTTGCGCAGCGGAAGACATTGCAATTGGGGCAACCCGGAGTCGAGTTGCAACTCATGCCCGAATCACCACATTGGCACTAAAAATCATGAGCATTAATCAAAGAAGATTAGGGATCGGGCTTTCACTTACGCATGTCCAGACCCAATGATGCTCGTACTTCTTGGAAGAAGACTTTGAAGAGTGTTTGTGGGAAGATCCTGAAGGCATATTGGAGTAGAAGAGACGGAATCACTGTGAGACAGTACTGTAGATAGAGTAGTGCAAAAAAGTGATTGAGATTTTCAAAGCTCTGTGAGGAGTGACGATGGAATCTGAAGACCGGTGATGATCCAAAACTTCAGGCCACAACGACATCCAGCTCTGTCTTTTTATACATATCCTCCCAGAGGTAGATTCGCGACTTCTCACGGGCTCCCATATGAATTCGAGGCCAAGTGTCATTGGCATTGTAAGGCGATGTAATTACAGACAACCAAAGCTCTCAGCCACGTACGGCGACCACTAGACGCCTTTTCACGCGATGCCTTAGGCGGTCTTGCCGAAGATGTGAATGAGCCCTTGCTCGGTGGGGTCCCTTTTGTGAATCGGTGTCGGTAGCTGCTGCGGAAAGGCATCCTCGTCCAATATCAAGGATTCATGGTTCAAGACAGGATGGAGCAAGACATCCACCCCCGCGTCGTTCCCAGGCTTGAGGTTTGCGCCTCTCGATTGGAACGTCTCTGCGCGATTCATTGGCAAGGAGCCTCGCTCGTCATGGCCCTGCGCGTTTTGCGCCTTGAGAGTCAGGGCCGTCGAGACCGATGCTACGGTCCGCCTAGGCAGATATGGCATACCGCAGTCCCTGTGGAACAGTTAGCTCGAGACAAACTAGCCGAGTTAATCCACAGGGCATGGGGCCAGATGACTCTCTGGTTGCCGAAGCTACGGAGAAGGGCAGCCGAATGAGAGGCGAGCAGCAGGGTGCGAAGAAAAAAGGACCGCAGGAGAGTGAGGACGGGGAAACAGTAGGGGACGAGGCGAAAGACCTTGATTGCGGCTCTGCGCGCGAATTGGCGGTGGGGGCAGGTGTTGTCTGGCTGCATTGCCAGTTCTTGGTGAGGATTTGGCAACCAGGAGGCTCAGGGGTTACCACACACCAGGAAGGAGGCTCTACGGTTTATTTCGGGTTGGTGCGGATTAATTGCGCCTGTTTGGTACTTTGAAGGTTGGCATTGCGAGAGTCCTCTTTGGGGAAGCGCAGCCGCCTGGTTCCCAAGGGTTCCCAAAGTCCTGTACACCGACAACTAGGCAACCGGACTCCACTAGTAACCATGGAAGGCGGGCTTGTCTTCGAGTGTTGGGCAGCGCAGAGCCGCAAAGGAATCACTCTTCGGCTGAGTTTGGCTCTGTGGCACACTGCGACCCGCGACAAAGTCGACTCATACGGCTGTTGCGGTCGTACATTCCACCAACACGAGCCTGATCCTGTGTCTCTGTCTCCCTGCAGGCGTGCATGGTCGAAAACGGGGATTTGAGTCGCATGTGTTGACATTGACGAAAGCTTGAAGGTCTTTCTCGCTCTTTTGGCTAGACCCGCACCAGCTTGCAGGCAGCAGTACCTTCCCATCAGAAAGGGAAACGAAGCAGGCTCTGGTCTCACTGTCGGACACCATGTCCCAAGTCTTGGGACAGCGTAAGCATGCAGCTGAACCCCGCCTTCTTCGTGTATCCCATCACGTGACCACTGAACATCCCGGTGATCGGCTCTTGGCCACAGGTGATCGAACACTGGGGTCATTTTTGTTGATATCTCAGTGTACTTGAGTCCCGGTTGGCCGATGGAAGTGCAGGACATTGACGATCCCACTTGTCGAGAAATTTGAAAGCCGGGGATGTTTTGCCGTAATGTGGAGGCTTTGCCGTTCAGGATAATACGACGGCAGCGACATAACACTGCTATACGAAAGCGTAAGGCTAAAAGGGGCGAAGAAAAGGTTAGTAAACATGATTAGTAGTATAGAAAAAATAAGAGTAATGTCGATGATAGGAACAAAGGGGAAGTAAAATACTCCCTGTTCCAAAGGTGTCCACCCGTATGTATGACAGAACTGTCGTTCGAGAAGATCGATAAATAAAGGGGTGAGGGGAGGGGGGGGTTCCGGATGCAATGTTAGAAGCTGAATGAGCACATGTGGCTTCGATGGGTTCCGTACCTCTGGGAATGAGCACAACATCGGTGGAACCTGGATCGTTGATGCGTTGGTAGTCGTTGACAGCCGCTACGTATTGAGACTCGGCAGACATATTCTTGTTCATCTTGATTCCTCCCTGTCTGGTAGTGAGTCGATCGTAAATGCCAAACACAGCCAAACTGTTGGCCCATTCATCGATGAAACTCTTCGTCCATTCGTTCATTCAGTCGGCGAATCAGTCGAAAGATTTCCTTTAGGCGATTTGTGACTGGAATTCGGGTTGCCGGTGAGAAGACAATAAGAGAGGATGTGCCGTTATATACTTGATATTGAGGCTCAACACCACAACACCTGACACTTCAGGCCAGCACTTCAGGCCAGCAAACTAGGGCATCCCTGCAGCAGCCGTGATCAGAAGGCTCTCGCATTGAAGCCTTGCGAGACCGACCAGCTGACGACTTAGGAATAGAGGCCTTAGGAGGCTGCAAACTTGCAAGACTAAAAGTGCACACTCGAAAGAGCCTCGGCTGGAGTATGGCAGAGATCCACTGTGAATGGGCCCATTTGATCATGCCGTTCTGGCGGTGGCTGGCTGTCCGGCTTACAACACAGACCGCAGAGCCGCGGGTCAGAACCAGTTGGAAGCGAGATGGCAAGTGGTCTCGGTGTTACCTCACTAAACATTTGCGGCTCCTTCTGTCGCCGTTAAGGTTGTTGAGCGAGGGTGTGAAGCAATGCTTGGGGGTTTTGAGGCATGCAGGCGCCTTGAGCAGCGAATGACCGGGCTCGCGGTTGATGAACCATAGCTGGAAGGAGAGAAGATGCTTTTGGGGAGCAGTTGTGGGACTGGTAACCCCATAAATCTGTGAAAAGTCGAAAAAGTCGTGTCATAGGTGTATGATGCACGGGGTTTGTGAAGTTCGTTGCAGCATACATCTGTAGGTTCACCCAAGTGTGGTGTGCTGCACCTCGAATGATGGTAGTTCTCGATATGGAAATAGCAAATAAGCGAGACGCTTCTGTTTTATCAGTAGATGTTGAAGCAGACCGGAGAGGAATCTGCGATGGACAATTTGGGGCTCGTATGACAGTCGGGGTCACCATGGATGCCTAGATGAGAGCTGAAATGAATGCAAAAGCGCGGGTTGTGAAGTACGCCGCGAATGGAAGTCCCTTGATCACCATGCCCAAATTCAAGTTGGCGACATCGCTGATTACGGCAACGTAAACACTCGCAAAGCCACTTTAGTTGACGCCCAACTTTGCTGGGCAGCAAGACGGATCTCAGGCCACGATCCGTTGCAATGTTTGACGCGCGTTTGTAAACAATCATCGTGATTCGTTGCCGGCCATCAATGTCTGCGAAGGAGGGTTTGCCGGACGTCAGTGCCTGGATCGTCCGGGGGGAAAACGAAGGTCTTTCATTCGATGCAGCGAGGCGAACAGAAAGAGAGAGAAAAGTAGCAGTTTCAGGGGGCTGCCAATGGCGAAGTGTGTAAACGAGGGACACACAGAAAGCAAGATGATTCGCATGAACGGGTGGTGGGTGTGGATGACGACGATCGTAAAATGATGGAAAGGCAGTGTTTCCGGTTCCCAAGTAGGTTGGGTGTGACAGAGCCAGAGAGGTTGGTTGGTACGGGAAAAGCGTCGGCCGAGAGGCAGTGACGAGACAATAAAGTTGCAAAGAGAACACGCGATGTCCCTATTCGTAGAAGGCAAGTACACTGTAATTAATCGGGTAGGTGGGTGGGTGAGGTCATAGGGCTGAGTATGTATGTTCCACTTTGGCAGGCGTTGTTGCGGCATTCTTCTGCAGCGCGTCTTGCCGTTGCATGCCACCCTGTGTGAATGGACCGCTGCTGCCAAAGAATCTGAACAGTACGCTAGCCCTGTGTAAATTGCATGGAACGGGTCTTGCGCGGAATGGACGGCGGAGCAGCACCCGCTTCAGCGTCTACATGTGGACACCCCTGCTCGCCTAGACGCTTGCTCGGCTGTCGTCCCGCCAGACGCATGGCACTGCGGCCTCCCAGCCAAACTCGTCTGGTGACGACAAACCCGATTGCCCGCGCAAACTTGACGCGGCCGCAAGTCCGCCGTCGATGCGCCGACCGAATCCTCATTCGTACACCTTACTCGTCACCAACTTGGAAACAGAACCTCAATGGTCCGGCAATGAATGTGCAACCGCCATGTCGGCCGCCACAAGCACAAAGTGCGCTTCGCGATGGGTGACGCGAATCATCCCAATCATCATTACCAGCACCAGCGGCTATGCTACCTACGTGATTGTTGCGTACTTGGGAGGTTGGTCTGCCTCTCCCTTGCTCCGTTGCCCATTTGTTAACCACTCTGCTCCGCAGTCGACTACTTGTACAGGACTAGACATGAACACGGTACCGCCATCGCGACAATCACGATATACCTCTTCTTCTACCTCTCAACGATTGCAACATACCTTCGAACCTTTCTCAAGATCAAAAAAGACCCTGGCCTGGTCCCGCTGGGTCCTCAGGCGCAGTTGCCCGATTCCAACTCGAAACGCAGGCGGAAGAAGGACGGAGACTTGGAGAGCCAACCGTACTTCACTGGTCCCGACCAAAACCCGGATAGCCCGGGCTTGGAAGATTTTTACAGCAGAGATGTCTTTGTGTGCGAAAACGATGGGCGTCCCAAATGGTGCTCGGAATGTCGCACTTGGAAGCCCGACCGCGCACATCACTCCAGCGAAATCGAGCGATGTGTTCGAAAGATGGACCATTATTGCCCTTGGGTCGGTGGCATGGTGTCAGAAACCTGTCAGTGATGAATCTGTTTGTTGGTGACAGTGATGCTGACCATGCACAGCCTTCAAGTTCTTCGCTCAATTCACCTTTTACTGCACCCTCTACTGCACAATCTCACTAGCGACCGCGGCCTACTGTTTGTCGAGACAAGTGCGAGAGGGCGGAGCTGATGGCCGGACAATATCTGGTGTTGCAATTGCCGGATTCTTTGGCATCTTTACATTCCTCATGACCGCAACGTCGTGGAGGTTCATTTTGCTGAACATTACTAATATTGACGCGCTCCGCAAGTCTTGGGTGCATCAACTCGCAATTCGAGTCCCCAACGACACGAGCCCCGGCAACGGATACGGGATCGTCACATATCCTCTGCCAAAATATCCTCAGCGAGCACATGAATCATCAGATGCCACTGTTGATAGCGAATCGCCTAGAGATCGCCTCGCAACCCGAGTGTTCGCCATTGTCAGCACCGACCCCGACGAAAACCCCTGGGACCTGGGCTGGAGGAGAAACTGGACGTCTGTAATGGGTTACAGCCTGATCGACTGGCTTCTTCCGATACGCGGCTCGCCGTGCGCTGTACACGATAGCATGGAGAGCGATTACGAGATGGGACCTGTGGTGCAGGTCCTGAGAGAACGATACGGACTCCGGGACCCGAACCAACCAGCCTCGCAGGTTGAGATGCAAGAAGTGAGGCCAAGCGCACGTTGAGCACATATCCGAGATACCCAGTAAGACATGAGTTGGCGTTGGTTGTTCGATGAACATACTTTGACGAGCGTCTGCTTTGGAATACGCGGCCCCGGCCACGCCATGCTCATATCCGTTTTTGTGTAATACTTAATCTAGTACAGAATAACCGTCATGCTTTTATTTCCTCGCTGCCCATAGCCATACCAGTGAAAGAAGTGTCAGTCGAGGGGGTTCGGAGGATGAGTTTAAAAAAGGGGAAAGAAATCCTAACTGGGCTCCGAACCTGTGATCCCTGGCAGCCACTCACACCTCTGGTCAGTTGACCAGTTGAGCCAGTTGGACCCAGGGCAAGTCCGACAGCGCAGTTAGCAGACCTGAATCCGAACCACTCTATAAGGTGAGCAGGCAGTCAGTCCTCAGGGGAAGGTGCGAGGTGAGAGAAGCGAATAGTGAGGTGAGCTAAGTGAAGTAATGCAGCGAACACAATTTCATGAGGCAGACGTCGGTTCGGCTACATGCAATCTATCTTCTTGCCTATCAAAGCCCTAGATTATATCTCGATCGAGAATAGTTGGAAGTTACTCATGGTGGGAAGGTCCCAATAGGGAAGGAAGCCAACCGCCACGTCTGATCCGACACGCATCGCTTCATGTGATATCGGTGCAGGAACTGCACTTCATGTGCTCGCATCCATTGGAGCACTTCATGGTGCCCTCGTCATCCGTCCCGCACATTTCAGAATTGTTGTCCTGCTCACAGCTGCAGCATGTCCAAGACCCTTCAGGCATCCGTTGCCGGCTGTTGTTGGGAGGAAGGGATTCGGCGCCAGAATCAGAATCAGACCTGCCCCATGATTAGGTTAGCAAGTCTATACAGCAGGCATTAATTAATTCTCACATCTTGTGCAGTTGTCTTCCAGTTTGACGACAGATCGAAGAGTGATATTAATGATTGAAATTGTTTGTTTTCTCTCTTCCAGATAAAAAACCAATATGAGTTGAGATAATATTGAAATGGGTTCTTCTGTAAATGATTCATATGTTCTTATAGATATTCCCTTAAAGGTTTTTGTCTGGCAATGTCACGAATCCGACTGTTTGAACTCTCGTCCTGAGTATGCTCGACTTTATAGCACCGCGGCCTTTCGACGAGTAACGGCAAGAAAGAGCCGCCCCTGATGTTTCTTACCTACCTAGTAGCCACAATTCTTGGCCTGCGGTGAGAACTACGGAAAGCACTCGATTTCAGAAAGTCTACCCCCAGTCATCAACATCGATGAGCACCCGTCGTGGATAGGAGTATCCGTTCTGACGACTCCTTCTGGAAGAGTATAGCTAGTCCAGGGGTGCATCCATTCTCCGAGATCCGATGGGTGGGTTGAATCTTGCAGCTGTCTCAGACGCAGCAGGCAGAAGTTATGGGACGGCCCCCTCTGGGCTGGTTCAGTGATACCTTGGCCCCGATATTCCTGGTAAACAGCCCATGAGGACGACCTCTGACTGGTCTAGCTGCGAGATCAACTCTGGGAGATGACCTGATACCGATGACCGGGTACGTCGTCCACCTACGCAGACCGACAGCCACCGCGGGATGCCCGAACTCTAGTCCGAGAAAGGGGCTAATCAGATGAGAATGCTCGACCGCCGTGCTTCTTGACTTTACCGAGCCTTCACCCTCCCGGACGATGGATCGCTTGGGGTCCATGGGGCCGAGAGACAGAGACAAAAGTGCCGCTTCATTTCTCTCTTGCTCGGACAAGGCGACGTCAGAAGGCAGCCAGAAGACCCACCCCATACGGCGTTACAGGACAGCATAGAATGAGGTTGCGTCAGGTAACTCGTTACTAGACTCCCCCTTTTTTACCACAAATACCACCTCCAGCCTTTCTTCTCTCAGTGCATGCTGAAATAGCCAAGCCCATAATGGTTCCAATTGGAAGGGTCCACAGCTTGAAGTTGTCGTCCGTATGAAAGCGATTCGTTCCCAGCGCAAGATACCTACAAGTAAAACACCATCAAACCAACTCGGTACAACTCCGTTGGATGATCGTAGTCGTCCAATCTGGCTTTGGCACCACAATATTGCTTCGACATTCCAAGTGGCTGGCGGGCCGCAAATTAGAGGTTTCAGGTAGGGCCAGATGCCTGGTGCTGCTGGCGAGCCTCGCCTGTAACTTTGAGTTCTTACATCATAACCCAGACACTTTTTGCACTTCTACGGCCCCCCTCTGCCCGTAGGATCACGGGCCTCGACGATTCACGCGATGGAATTGATATCGAATTCGTCGAATAGGTGAAGGCGATGGTCACGGCGTTACGTGAAGCGTGGGGTCGGGAGTATGGAAACTGACGCTCGTTGGCCATATGAAAGCCCATGTCTCATTCCCCTCTGTCATCTTGGAGTACTAATTTCAAAGGGTGTAACCTCGGGGCCTAAGATTCTGCACATGGTGATGGTTGGACCTGGGAGCCTTCCGTCAGCGAGCGGGTGCAGGACAACCAGAGGCTCCAAGCATCGGCGGCGTCGGATTGGCCAAATAAACGCTAGGGCAGCATATACGCCATGTGGTAATGGTAGCATTGGACAAATCTTAGCGCATAAGGCTGTAGGATCTCCCACAGCGTATGACGATGTCTTGCTTGAAGCGACGAAAAACGGAGGTGTGAAGCGGGGGAACCGGAGCGGGCAGCCAACCTGAGTACGATGGCAGCTTGTGCCACCTTTTCCTTTGGAGAGGTGGGCATCCGGAATAGAAGCTGCAGCCTTACGAGCAGTGTCCAAGAAGATGCTGAACGTGTTCGGGGGCTGCGTCTTCGCAAGGTAGGCTTGATTGAGGATGGCTGCCTCGCTCTCGATGCATGCCGTTGATGACGCCTGATTGCATCAGCCTGTTCGATGTTGAGCTGTCGGTTCCAGCGGATAGATGTCAAATTTGAGCAGCATGGGAGTGGAGAAGAGGAGTTGTCGTCACTGCCCCGATTGGGAACAATGGTTTCTTGAACTGAAGAAGCAAACCTGTCAAGGAAAGATTTGCAGGTACATGATGCTAGAAAGGGAGGAACATCCAATGGCGCACCCATCCGTGTCTCGAATGCCTAGAGTAGAGCAGGCCGTGTCAGGTCTCGCGTGGAATGAGCGGCCGAGTAACACCACCATCCCGATGTAGGAAATACTGTGTCTTTCGTCGATAAGACCCCAGTCTCCGGAAAGGCGTGTTGCTGCCAGTAAATCGACCAATCAAGAAGACTCACCTAGTATCGTTCGTGTGAGGATCCATTTGTCGTCCACCGCCTCGCGGGACATCGGGTAACGAAGCTGAACGGAATTTCGTGGGGGAGGCAGCAACTATCGTTGCGCAGGCTCTAACTAAGAAGAGCTGCAGGCCTGTCTTTTCGTTCGGTTGGAATCAGGCTGGGCTTGCACGCTGTGTGCGCCATAACTCAGTGACGTGTTGCTGGATGATGGTAATGTGGTAAGGCAGGTTGGTACTCAAGCCTAGACGGAAACAACGTCGACTTTCTGAACGATGTGGAACTTTGACACAGGTACCAAGTAGACGTTGCCAGCCAAAGAAGTGTCTGAGAAAATCAATGATTGTGACGGTCTTGTATCAACGAGTCCCGCGGTGTTGGTCGGTATCGTTGGAATCCTGAACCGTTAGTTGGAAGTGGGAAGGTAGCGAGCGGGGGAGGTGATAGATCGGAAAGTGACCCACGTCAAATCTGCGGATCATCGTTGGAGAAAGAGTGGGTCCAGACAGCCACTAAGCGCCTTACGGCAAGCTCGTCTCGGTGTTGAGGACGTTGCGCGCCGGTGACCAGCACTTTCACGTCTGTTCTTAGTGCACTGTGTTAGTGGAAAAAAGACAGGCGCGTCAAGGATCGCGTCTGCGTTTGCTTCGACTACCTACCTACCCACCTAGCAAGCGCAATCCAATATCTATGCAACGACCTCCAAACCTCAACTTACACCTGCCTTCCCTTGGTATCGTCGAAGGACCATTCATGCCGCACACTTTCTGCGTGCTGCGACCATCAAAAACTCAACACCCCCTATCTTTATGCCAATGTCTGTCTCACCCGGCCACTACTGAACTGTGGCAACTGCGCCGACGACACCGGCACTTGTTGCTATTGCTGCGACTCTTGAAAATATGTCGTCCTCCCAGTCCTTTCGGGATTCATCCCCCATCGCAGGCACCGGCAGACGCAAATCACACTTCACCTACCGACATCTGTCTCAGCTTGCCTCATACAATACGTCTTGTCCTTTGCGAGTCGTTGCGCACATCGATCTAGATGCCTTCTACGCTCAATGTGAGATGGTCCGTTTGGGCGTGCCCAAAGACCAGCCCCTGGCTGTCCAGCAATGGTGAGCATGGCGTCTGCACCATCTGCTTGCGTCTACTAACATGGCATAGGCAGGGTCTGATTGCTGTCAACTACCCAGCACGGGAGCATGGTATCGGCCGCCATTGCACCTTGACCGAAGCTAAGAAGATGTGCCCAAATATAATTGCTCAGCATGTAGCCACATGGCGGGAAGGCGACGACAAATGGGCCTACCGCGATGATGCAGCCGCCAACATTCAGAGTGACAAGGTCTCTCTAGACCCTTACCGCCTGCAGTCCAGAAAGATCTTGGCAATCATCAAGGAATCCTTACCCCAAGACCTCCAAAAGGTTGAAAAGGCCAGCATAGACGAGGTCTTCTTGGACCTGTCTGCGCAAGTGCACTCCGTTCTGCTGGAGCGGTTTCCGGAACTCGGGAACCCACCTCCATACGACGACCCTACTGAGAATCTGCCCAGCCCGCCTGTCTCAGCACTAGATTGGCAAGCAGATGCTCTAATCGATCTGGACGAGGAGGAGGAGTCTGTGGACCCGGACTGGGACGACGTGGCGATCCTCATTGGATCCGAAATTGTACGAGACGTTCGACGTCAGGTCCTAGAAAAGCTCTTTTACACATGTTCGGCCGGCGTTGCCAAGAACAAGCTGTTAAGCAAGTTAGGCTCCGGTCACAAAAAGCCCAACCAGCAGACTGTGATCCGGAACCGAGCCGTGGATCAATTCCTGTCTGGTTTCAAGTTCACAAAGATGCGCAATCTCGGGGGAAAGCTCGGCGAAAACGTCGTTACGACCTTCAACACTGATGCCGTCAGTGAACTGCTGCCCATTCCCTTGGATCAGATGAAGGCAAAGCTGGGGCATGAAACGGGAACATGGGTATACAACACCATTCGAGGTATCGACAACAGCGAAGTCAACTCTCGTACACAGATCAAGTCCATGTTGTCAGCCAAATCCTTTCGACCTTACATCAACACGCCCGAGCAAGCTGTGAGGTGGCTTAGAATCTTTGTGGCCGACATTTTTGCCCGACTGGTGGAGGAGGGCGTTTTGGAAAACAAACGCCGGCCAAGAACAATAAATCTACACCACCGTCATGCCGGTCAGATGAAATCACGGCAAGGCCCGATCCCTCAAGGCAGGCCTCTGGATGAGCAGACGCTCCTCGAATTGGCAAAAAGCCTCCTCAACCAGATCATAGCAGAAGGAAATGTCTGGCCTTGCGCGAATTTAAGCTTGAGCGTTGGGGGATTTGAGGATGGTATCACTGGTAACATGGGCATCGGAGCCTTTCTGCTCAAAGGAGAGGAAGCCCAAGCCCTAAGGCAGGGCGCCCGTGAAGCAAGCGGCACATCGATACCGGAAGAAAATCCATCAAAACGACGGCGGACTGAGGAAGGGGCCATCCATCGCTTCTTTACACGGGGCGTTTCCACCGACGACGAACTGCTGCCCGACGATGCAACCATCACCGAGGATATCAAATCCCGAAAAAGGGCGACCACGGCAGACTCGCCAGCGGCTACACTTACGGCGGATCGACCGCAGGAAGCAGTCAACGATAGCTGTGGCCAGCCACCAATCACGCCCTTCGTATGTACGCGCTGCAACACAGGCTTCGAAACGCCAGAAGAACACCAAAGCCACGCAGATTGGCACTTCGCCAAGGATCTACAGGAAGAAGAACGTGGCAATGCCGCATTTGCCAATCGATCCACTGCACGCAGCTCTGGCACAAAAGCATCGGGTGCATCGGCCAAGCGAGGCGGCCGCGGAGGCAAACTCGAACAAGGCCAGAGCAAGTTGAGGTTTGGATGAGTCCTGATCACACACCAAGGGTATCACTACGTCAAAAGTTTGTCGAGCGGGTCCTGCCACTCGATACCTGATCTGATCAAATTGAGGACCTCGCGCCCTGAGACTCGGTTCAAGGGTCATCGCGGCAGAGCAAATTAACGATGTCGTCCCTGGCGAACCTCAAAGAACGGTTCCTGAGGATGCCGAGCTCATATCTGCTCACCATACGAAGGGCGCAACAAACCTTAGATGAAGGGACCCATTAAGCAGGGACGTTGTTGGTTCGGATGCTCTGCAATGGCCACTTTTGGCTGCGATTCAACAAGTATTGCCAACTGAGATGCTGATTCGATGCCCACCTGACGCCCTCATCTAGTATGGAGTTACTTATTGCCTAGTACAGGCGTGTGCTGGGTCACATTTCATCGGAGTAAGCGGTTCGAACAATGAGGTCGGAGAACTTGGCCGTGACAGCCTGACAAGACAAGGAGAAACATGCTTTCCGTATTGTAGGGGAGCGACGCTATCGATGGCTGAATGTGGATATACAATACCCGCCAGTGTCGTCATCCCATCTTCCGCCTGCACTATCCGCGACATGGTCGGGTCCCCGCGTGTTGGATATTGGGAGCGTCAGGGGCGATGTCTACTGAGGAACAGGGCCTCAGTCATGATAATTCCAGATGGCCCAAGGATCGATGCTGAAAGTGACAGAAGAAACATTGCAGCCGCGCTTTTTTCGGAATGCCAGGGCCGGGATCGTGTCTCTGATTGAGGTCGTTGCCGCGAAAATGCCAGGCCCGCTCGTCGCGTATGGTTTTGGATGTGTCGGGTCGTCTTGTCAGAATCCAGATGGCGTCTGTCGATGATTGGCCATGAGTTAGGCATCTTTTGGGCTAGTGTGGGTTGGGCCACAATTATTTTGGCGCGAAGCATTGATACCCAACGACACCAACCACCGCCCGCTACCAAGTTGCGATCGAGTTACCTCAGCACGGATTGTTACTTCTAAGGCGGATGAGGGACGCAGAACACGCGTGATCATCCGCACATACCTTCTTGACAATGACGGAACACCGAGGATGAAGGGGGAGACCAATCGGCGAGGGATTCGTTCGATACAAAATACTCTTATATCGTCGTCGAGGCCGCCCGCGCGGAAAAGCGCCTAGTCGAACGAGTATTGCTCACCGGTCTCTAGAAAGTGACCGTTGTCCGACAAGCGTCAACCGCACCAAGCCGCTGGGATACGTGGGCGTCGAACGGTAGACGAACCCGACGCAAGGACGTGCCGACCATACTGAGTACGACCACAGTACTTCGCACGCACGGGGCCTTGGTTCAATCAGCTGGAAAGTGAAGTCAGGATCTGCCTACCTCACGTTACGCCGCTGCCACCGACCTGTCGCCATTTGAGCAGCTGGGATGGCCCGGCTCTGTAGGGTATCAACAACTGTGACGGCCAAGTTGATAAAAATGGAAGAAAAACGGAAGAGAAAATGACAGGCATCACCTCACTTAAACTCGCCTCACCTTGGGCAACCTGACGAAACAATGATCATCAGGGTCTGGCAAATGAAGCCTATAGTGGATGTTTGTCTCCGCGCTTTTGAACATGGAGTGCGCGAGGGGTTGGCAAGAAAGTCTGATGTTTCGAAAGAGCCGGATTCGCATCCGATTTCAAGTGGAAACCCATACTCATGGCATATTTCGTGTGGCATTGTGGTCCGAAGTTCAAGAATCAGAATTCTCATGGGCCCCGGCAATAAAGCACCGGGGAGACAACCGACAACACCCTTTTGCGCGGTTGCCCAACGCCGCTGTGCGCTAGCAAGCCGTCATTCTCGACACATCCTGGACACGACCAAACACTTGTTGGTCTAGAAGGGACTACTCACGAGCCACATCTTCCCCAAACCTCATCGTCCCAAGCCGACGGACGGCATCTCAGCCTCAGCTGCATAGGATTCCTCAAACGAGAGTTTTCGGCACTAACGGTCTAGATCTCTGTCGAGCCCTCCCGCAGACAGGAGAGATAGCGATTTACAAGATAGAGAGACACGAGTAACAACGCCTGAATCACATTCATCTGAGCCAAGTCTCCCGTCAAGGACCCAATATCCGTGCTGGAACGCGAGAGTTTATCGACTTTGTGTTATTCGCCGGTCCCCTAGGCACTCGCTCCCTCGGCTCTCCCGCGTGTTCCACTGATCCGCAACATCCTCTATTGGGCACCAAATAGCCTTGTCGCATTAGACTGGAAAGGCGGTGGCAGTGACAAACAAACCATGCCGGTGCCAGAGTGAGCCCGTACAACGACACTGAGAGCCCTGTTGCGACCCTCGTGAACAGCCGATAAACCTTGCATTGGATCTCACCGCAGCTCGTCGCCTTCCGATGTCCCTTGGGTTCAGGGACAGACAGACACGCTGGGAATACCGATTCCAGGGCTGTGACCGCAGTTGATGGGGAAGCCACTGGCAGTGCTGAGTGCCGAGCCCTACCAGACCGCCCTCACCTCGGTTGTGCTGCCTCTCTGACTCGCCTTACTCTTTACGTATTGCGCCCACAACGGCTACGGGATCACCAGCCGCAGGTAGTATCCGGTCGCTTGCTCACGACGTTTGGGGGCTAGAAACCTGGAAAACCCAGAGGATTACCTCATCTGACGCTCCCACTTAGCACGCAGTAAACTGTGCAAGGCGGGCATTGGCGAGCCAACGTCAGTTTGCTTCTCCGGTGGCGCATCTCCACCGTGGAAAAACGCTCATTGGATTTGCTTCTTCTTCTCCCGACGTCAAATACTGCCTTGCGAATCCACGCTACCAATTAAAAATGGCGGCGACGACGTTGGGATTGGCGCGTGCTAGAAGCCGGCAGCCAAAGTCGCTTCGAATTCTGCTACTCTAGTGCGTGCACCGGGCAGGGAAGCGGGAAGTACACGCCAGATACTCGTTCTAGACGAAGTACAGTCTCCTCGGTATCCTTTTTGGGGCTGCCCAACCTCCAGCAGCTGCACCTCATCCCGTCTCCATCCACTCAGAGCGGCCGCCACCCAGCTTCCTTGCTGCCGCCCAACCGCTGTCCGCTTCTTGCCTTCCTGCTGCTTCCCAACTTTTGTCTGGCTCGTCAGCTCTCACTGGCTCTCTGCTGGTCCTTTTTTCCCACCAAACCAAGATGCAGGCTAGGCACAGGCAGGCTCTCATCGGTCAGCCAGGCCAGACTTGGCCGCACCAAAAGACGCACCATCACCCACCCCTCCCAGCCCCTAGCCCCTCCCGGGCAAGGTCCAGGGAGTCACAGAGTGGCAGATTTGCCAGGTTGCTGGGGTTTTGCTGGAGCGCCTGGGAAAATCCGCACGGGACTGTCAGCCAACAACGTGGTGCCAACAAGCCCTGTTTCTCTGACCAGTCCTGAGGCCTGCGGTTACCGTTTCCTGTGTACCTGCTGTACCTCTGCGCTGGGCCACGCACAAGACAGACATAGACAGCCAGTCAGCCAGAGACACACACACGCACACGACGCACACATATCCAGAGTGTGAGGACGAAGAGGGCCTCCCATCCAGCGCGTGTACATTTACGGTACATCCAACCCGACCGTTCGCTCGCTCTCTCCCGCCTCCCGCCTCCCGTCTTGCGTCTTGTCCTGTCCAGTCAGAACGAGGACGAGGGTGTGCTGGTGACCACTCACCACTCACTACTTAGCACTGACTTGATCACTGGCCACTGGTCCACGTCGGTGACTTACCGCTGGGGGTCCCGGTTTTTCGAACAATCCCCACCCCCAAGAGAAGAGCCAGACTCTGGCCTGTTCCTTTTCTTCTCCCACCACCCACTCCCTGCCCGCCTCTGCGCTCCCATTCTCTTTTTCTTTCCGCCATCTCGCCGACATTTCCATCCAGCCGTCCCTCTCCTCTCTCCTCTCTCGTTCCCTCTATTCCATCTTCTCTTCATATTCCGTCCGTGTCCTCGTCTCCGTTCGACCCTCACGAAACCCTTCGATCATGTCGTCCAGAACATCGCGCGGTGCCCCTCCTTCGGGCAGCTCCTCTACGGCACCCCCCTCCAGCGGTCGTTCCAACGAGTACTTCGTCCCACGAGATGGTATTGATCGCGAGGTCATCACGGCAGACATCTGCCGCTACCTCGGAAACGATGCTTTGGTGCGACCCGGTCACTACGAGAACCCTCAAACCGGCCAAGTGGTTCAAGGCTACTACATCACCGCGTACCGGAACCTAACAACAGTGAGACCTCCGACTCGTCATGCTATCACAATACGCATGCTAATACGAAGCCCCGCAGGCTATGATTGATGATCTCAAGGCCGATTCTGCGCGTTGGGAGGCAGAGAGGCGGCAGCAGGCCGCCCGGAACACCCAAGGAGGTACATTTGCCTCGAGAGACGCGGCGGCTCCCTCTTTGTCGAGACGATCTAACTCCCCTACAGCAGGGTACCGCCAGTCGGAGACTCATTCCGCGCGCCAACACTATGGCCCCACGGATCCCGCTGGCTACCCGGACGTAGGACGTGATTCCTATGAAAACACACCCAGATACCCAGGTTCTCAAGCCCCAGGATACTCGGGAAATGCTGCGCAGGGTTACTCTGGATCATCTGCTGCTGGTTACTCCCAACAGGCCCCGTCTCCTTATTCTTCAAGTGCTGGGTACTCCTACCCATCGGGAGGTTCTGCCTTCTCTCCCCAGTCGGACCCGAGAGATCCCAGATACTCTGGAACTCCCCAGTACGGAGGAGAGCCGTACACTGCCGTCAACGCGAACATGGCCGCTTCGCGCAACTTTGACTCCTATGGTTCCTCTGGACAGCCCGCAAGGATTCCCACCACTATGGCTCCTCAGTCGGGACAGACTTACATTCCATCCGGATCTCAAGCTCAGGCAGGTTACCCCTCCGGCTACTACCCGCCGTCATCGCAGGCGCCCTACGGAGCTGCGCCAGTATCCCAAGATCCGTTGTACGGACGCGGTGCGTATAAAGTCACACATTCCCTGTCCTCGCCGACATCCTCTAATTATGTAGCGTCCCCAGCAGGTGCCGCTCACCCTTCGTCGTACAGCTCAGGCCAAGGATCACAGTATGATACAACCCCAACCCCCCGCGCTTCGGCTACCCCTTCGAATTCCAATGCTCAGATGGGAAACAGTGGATCATCCTCGTCGCACTCCCGCCGCAGTGAGAGGGACTCCGACAGGCATCACACATCCGACCGCCACCGCCCTCCGCGTCGCTAATACGTTCTCTACCCGGAGTTTGCTCTAGCCATCCCGACTGCATGAGATACCTGTCTCGTGAGTTGTCTGTTATGAAATTTCTTCCTAATGACCCTGGGATTTGGACCCATTTCCGGCGTCGGCTTCTTTCATCATTTGTTTCTCCCGGATAGAACCTCCCAGGCCCGGAGGAGGTTGTGGAAACCATCTCGAGTTGCAAGTCTGCATCTCTTGTGCTCCGTTGTCTGGCTTTGCTGGCGTTTTGGCTTCGCGCCCTGGCTCGGAGCTCCTTAGCTCTATTTCCACTTGGACCGTTCCCGGACTTCTCTACCATCTTTCCCGGATATCGCCCCAAGAATGGATTCTTGCCGCATTCTACTCCTGGACGTTTCACGACTGCATATATGGATGGACCCAACGATTTTTGCTATTCGATTTGAATGCCCTATTGGTAAGCAAGACTGCGCCTTGCTTCACATTTTTAAGGCCCTGGACCTGGATCGGAAAAAAAAGACGCGCTTTTCAGATGAATTATGTCGGCAATTTGCTTCTCATCAAGGACCACCTTGCTGTCTGGATCCGTCCTGAAGGTGGGATGTGATGTCGCTTGCTCTCTTCTCCTGGTCTGGGTTTTGTTTTTTCTCTACTTGGACTTCCGGAGTTCTGGGTGAACAAGGCTTTTCTAATAGAACGTTGAGGTCGACATCTAGACAGCAAGGTGAGTCTCCGGACTGTATATACTATCGAACCCTTATGGGATTCATTCTATGACGACCTCAAGCCCTTATCGAGGGGTCTCATGGATTCCTCCTGTGAGACTTCCCATTTACTGAGCGCAACAGCCTCCAGCTGGATTTGCACACCTACTGGACCTCAATCACCTCCTCGGAAGTCTGCCTAGACACAAATCTGGATTACTGGAAACCTTCAAGCCCTGGACAATATTGCTGCCTGGAAGACACTGCCTGGACAATCTCAAGGAGTTCGCCCCATTGCAAAGGATGCTGGACAGCTCCTCCCGGACCCAAACGTGGCAGTACCACTATCTGCACACAGCCATCTTGAGACCACCTTGACCTGTTCACTCAGTCAAATCATCGTGTCTACCAACAAGGACCTATGGCTCGCTGAGCTCAAAAGAAATTCTATCAAGATGGAGAGCCAACTCTCCCTTCTGGGTAAGCTCGGATCATATCAGGAAGCACGATCCAACTGGTTACCCACACCAGTACACGTCCATGGATTGAGTGAAATAGCAATTGCGATTTTTTGCTCGGTTCAGCAATGAGCTTCAGGTTTCCCGGACATGCTTGTAGCTTTGATGCCTGCAGCCAGCCATGGGACATCAAGTCTGGCGGTTCAGATGGTATACCGTTCACGGGGAACTCTACAGTGCGGTCCCAAGTTGCCTACTTGGCTCCAGGAGACAAGCAAATTGCCGGACCAGCCACTCAGGAACATTCTGCCAACCCGAGGATCATGTTTCCCGAGCCACTCGTGGGAATGTTCGTCGCGACCTCGCGGGCTAGCTCGTTAGTTACCACTATTTCTTGTCATTCGTCCTTTTCTTTATTTCTAGTATGGAGCAGCCATTCTGCCAACCAGGAGACCACTGCCGGAGGACTAGACTAACTCATCACCACAGGTCAGACCACAGGCAGAAGCAATCAGGACCATGCCAGAGGGGCGCTTGGGTTACGTCGGAAGGTTGATGCTGAGGGTTGTATGCATATTATGTGCGTGCTTTGGTATTGTGATATGTTTCTCTACTTTTTGGTTTGAATTAAGGGAGCGGATAAGAGTCTTTGGGTAGACTCGGTTTACGATTATCATTATTTACGTACTTGGCGCTAGTATCGGCATATGGGTGCGGCACTCGTCAGCCGTTGATTGAATGACACTTAAGAGTTTTTATGACTGAACCACAAACCTGGGTCTTCCCGCGACTCGAATGCTGATCATGAACATTTGTCAACCCTACTGTGGTATTTCACGCAGTGCCATGATACCGTGGAGGTCGCATCGCGTCCACGTTTCTGGCATCAACCCGGCTCGGGACGTTATTGTGTGATGTCACCCACCACTGCCACCACTCAGATCCCCATGCGGAAATTTTGGATCACAACTTGAATAGGCGTGTGCGCGTGCGTGTCCCAGTGTTTGAAAACCCAACTGTCAGGCACCACTGTCCTGGGCCGCCTCACGTGGGGGGTGGGGGGAAAGGGGAAGGGATGAGAGAGCATAGTTGGGCAAAGTTGACACTCATCGGACAGGGTCCTTGGGTGCAGCCTCTGGCAACCTTGATTTTGTATAGGATGCGAGTTGGCAAGGCACAGGGGATTCAGGGTGAGAACACACACGCACACACACACACACACACACACACACACACACACACACACAGTTGGTAAATGAATAGAGTTTGCGACAAGAGACGTGATTGCGATCCATCGCATCCGCGGTGGTGTACGGGTTTTGAAAGTCGTCCTTATGAGAAAATGGAGATGAACTGCTTCCCATCTGCTTGCCGCCCCCCTTCGAATTCGTATTGCGTATCTTTTGAGTTTCTCTCTCTTTTTCGCCACGTTGATCGTCAAGACTTCAGACTTTAAGATGTTTCCCCATCCCTTTTCGAAATGCAGAATTTGGCAAAATCGAATATGTGCGTTTGAAGCGGAGAAAGGTGGCGAGTGGCTACAGGGAGCATCCGCGCCGGGCGGAAGCTGTTGAGCTGAACGGCTATAAGGAGGGAAAGTCCTGGGATGAGGCTTGGAGCATGATTAGACGGTGACCCTGAAGATCGCGGTTTTATGCTTTCGGAGGGATCTGTGGAGGAAGGCGCCACGGCGGTGTTCCTTGCTTGGTTCTATTCACAGATCACGGCGGCAGGATTGTTCGGATTACGTGTCAACTGCCGGAAGGAAGTGAGTTAGTTGGGAGATGGGACATGAGGCTCTCGCTTACTTCAGGGGCGGGCTGGGTTCCCCGACTACTTAGCAAAGGCCCCCCGACGAGATCACGGGGTGTTACGAAGACGATGCTGAAAATATTGCCGTCCAGGCCGGGAAAGGGACGGTTTGCTCGGTGTCCTTCTGTAAAGACTCATCGGCTTTCGATGGAACTCATTGAGGGGTGGTCCCCTCCACGCCCCGGCTATTCCACTCCGGTCGGTGGGTGAGGCCCGCACCGACGGACGGGGCGATGGCGTTCGATTTCCCAACGATGAGACGGAGGGGCAAAGAAAGGAAGAGGCCACGCACTCGGGACTGGGCTTGATGAGTAAGAAAGAGTGTAAATAAACACACGCGGCGGCGGCTCGCGGTGAGCCTCTTTTTTTTTTGCCCGTCGATCTGGTGGCACGGTACGCACGGCATGAATTGATTGTTGGAGATTTTTTTCAGGAGGGTTACAGCGGGGAGCAGCCCTGTGAATTCAGCGATGGCACTGATGGGATGGACGGAGGTGGAGGGGCTCTCTGAGGGGGCCGCGCGCAGGGCAAGACGGTGCCTCAGCGCGGAGGGGAGGGGAAGGGGACGGCGGCGGTAGCTGGTGGTGACGGTAGTGGCAGCCCGGCTGGGCAGGACACCCGGGGCAGGCCAGTTTCATGGGTCGGGTAACACTTTGAGGTAAGGTGGGAAGAGAGAGTCGACGAAGCAAGCGTGGAATCGTGGGAAAGGGGACGGGGACCCTTGGGGGGGTTTCGGAGGGGTCGAACACTTCACCTTCTAAGGTACCTTACCTAGTAGTATATGAAAGTTGACCGGGGTCCTGCTGGGTTCCGGGCGGTGAAGAGAACGAGTCCTTCTGGGAAGGGGGAAAAACACCAACCCAAAAACAATGAGATGCATTTATCGCGGCTGTGGAGACAGGCACGGCTGCCCGATACCCATAATTACTGAAAAGGGGCCAATTAGATACTCGGGTTAACGCCTCGGGCTGCCCTGATGCCATACCGCTTTCGGGGGCCAGTGGAGGCGGTGGGCGGCGCACTTTTGCGCTTTTGCGCTTTTTCTGCCGACAATAAGCTCCATTCCAGCGCGGCGCCGGCGTCTGTCTGGTCTGCCATGGATCGCGGTGACAATTGACCCGCAACCTGACAGATGCTTAGGCAATTACCAACCACCGCATTGCAGAGCAGCACATGGACAGAAAGATGACACACGACACACAAACATCTGGGGAACTGAACCATCGACGCTAGCTGGGAGTCTGTAAGTGTGTGTGTGTGTGTCTCGGTGTCGAGTTACAGGCACTTGAATGTTCTTCCAACAAGGCAACCTCGGGGAAAACACACTCGAATCCAGGAGCCAACCAAATCAATGCAGGCAGTGAGTGTACTGTTGCATCCACGTCCAAATTCATAGATGGCCTTATGCCTTAGCCGTCGGTACCCTGCTTGCTTGGACCTTTTTTTTCTTTGCTTCTTCACTTGCGTCGACAGTATGCCCACACACACACCACATATATACACAGGTACACAACACGTCTGCCGCTCCTTATTTCCATGAGACGCGCTGTCATCTGTCTGGGGAAATGTGTAATCAAAACAAGCCTAGCAGGCCGACCACTGATGCGAGGGCTAGGCAAGGCAAGCCAAGTCACCGCGATTTCCTTCGGTGAGTCCACGTTTAGATGCGTTGAGCCGAAAGCAAACATCGTTTCTGCAGCAGTCAGCCAGTACCTTAAAGTAGACAAATACGACAGCGTCGTTATCAAATCAAAGATCATGCGCTGGTTACTATGTATCCGTCATCCATGGAGATGCCGCTCTGATAGCGCTCATGTCGAGGCATAGAGAGAAGAAGAGCGGGACACAGAGAGGGAGAGGGCATGGTCAAATAAATTATCACGATACAGCCAACACACCGCACTGCTCACCCGCCGGCCTGAGGTCCGATCCTGAATCCGTCAGAACCAGAACCAGAGTCGCGGCATTCCAGCCAGTCCGGCGGCTGTCACCTGGGACCTTGGGGTTGCTGCCTCTCTTTTCTTCTTTTCTTTTGAAGAGAGAAGGGGCGCGGATAAACACACACAGCGGTGGCCTGAATCTGTCTGGCTTTTTTTTTCCCCCCCTCTCTCTCCAGGTCTCTTTCTCTTACCTAGATATTTACACCATTGTTGGTCTTGGTCTTGACTCTGACCCCCCATCACCTATTCACCCAGCACTTGCACCCGCACTCACTTGTACTGATACTTGTACTTGCACCCGGCGCCGCCCAACTCGTCCAGTCTTTTCTGCCACCCGACCTCTGGAGCGACCCCGAAATCCAGCGCCTTCGCATTCACTCGGCGACCCCTTCTCCCCCTGACGCCCTACGTTATTCCGCCGACGATACGCCTGGACTCACTGCTACAGTCCTGTCCCTCCCCAACTAACTACGCCCGTGCCCTGCCAAATACATAACCAACTACCACCTAGATAGGTACGGGCACGCACAAAGGTACCTCCCGCCTGTACCTGTCGACCACCGCCGCCGTGGCATGCCCCGCCATTTCGAGGCAACACAGACGACCCGCCCAAAATTTTGTCTTCACCTCCCGCACCGCTTTCCTTCCTCTCAACTCCTATCCCGCCTTCGCCTCGACATCACCCCGTCAATTCACCCAAGATGGACACCACGGCGATTCGAGGCCTCCTCGCGGCCAGTTTGGACCCCGATGCCGACACGAGAAGGAGGGCTGAGATCCAGCTGAAGCAGGTACGACAACTCTCGTTTATCTCCAGTCTCCCACCACCCCCGATGCCGTCCAACATGGACGTCGTCCTCCTTCCTGGCCGTCCCCCCTCCCCCACGAAATGGCCCCCCTACCGCTCCGAACCGATCCGCACCATATCGCACGCACGTACTGCACACATATCACACGCCCGTACCAGACGCACACGCACACAAGTGTCTACACGTCCATGGATGGCCGGCTACCTTCGCATCGTTACTCTACGCTTTGTGCTGCCCGCTCCGATGAAGACGTGTACAGTGCCGAGCGCTTCGGGGGAGGAGGGCGGATGGACCATGCCCACGTCGCGACTCTTTGTTGAACCGGTTGACTGACACCATGTTTCTCTGCAATTATAGATCGAAGAGCACCCGGGGTTTATGGACGTTCTCCTCGAAGTCCTCCAGAACGAGCAGGATAACAGTGTACGACTATCAAGTACGTTGACGAAACACCCTTCCTTGCCATCGCCTCGCTTCTCTCGCACCCCACACGCAGGCATACTAAACGCGCTCTCCGCTCTGCAGCTGTCATTTATATCAAGAACCGCGTGAACCGGGGATGGGAAAAGTCGGATCACAACCCCAACGACACACCAATCGCCGAAGATGAGAAAGCGCGCTTTCGCGACCGCCTGCTGCCCATCATGGCCGCCTCTCAGGGGCTGGTCCGGCAGCAGCTGATTCCCGTCCTCCAGCGCATTCTGCATTTCGATTTCCCCGAGAAATGGCCCAACTTTATGGACTACACAATGCAGCTCCTCAACACGAACGACGCCCCCTCCGTCCTCGCCGGTCTGCAGTGCTTGCTCGCCATCTGCCGTGCCTACCGCTTCAAGTCTTCCGACGGCGACAACAGAGTTCACTTTGACAAAATTATTGAGGCTAGCTTCCCTAGACTGCTGGCCATCTGCAACGAGCTGGTTGCTCAGGAGAGCGACGAGGCTGGCGAGATGCTGCATCTGGCTCTCAAGGCGTACAAGCACGCGACCTGGGTAAACACGGATGTCTCTGCATCTGATTTGGTGCCGTTGGCTGACAGGATATTAGCTCGAGCTCTCTGCTTTCCTGCGCGCGCAGCAGACCAACTTTGGCTGGTGCACCGTTTTCCTTCAGACCGTTTCCAAGACGATCCCGGCCAGCGCCATGGTCGACGACTCATACGAGCGTGAAAAGCACCACTGGTGGAAGGCGAAGAAGTGGGCGTACTTCAACCTCAACCGTCTGTTCATTAGGTAGGGTCTACGCAAGAGTTGGGCGTTGAAGGTTTTGCTGACATTGCTTAGACATGGCAACACGCAATCTGTCGCCAACACCAAGGACGAAGATGCGGTTCGCTTCGCCAAGGAGTTCTCCGCCACGATTGCCCCCGAGATCCTCAAGCACTACCTGCAAGAGATTGAGAAGTGGGTTGCAAAGACAACCTGGTTGAGCAGACCCTGTCTGTCCTACACCCTCGTTTTCCTCGACGAGTCCGTACGCCCCAAGGAGATGTGGAACCACCTGAAGCCCAACCTTCAGAACTTGGTGACACATTTCGTGTTCCCCGTTCTCTGCCTTTCCGAGGAGGACATCGAGAAGTTCGAGGACGAGCCCGATGAGTACCTCCACAGGAAACTCAACTTTTACGAGGAGGCATCAGCACCGGATGTGGCGGCCACCAACTTCCTCGTTGGCCTGACCAAGAACAGGAGAAAGCAGACCTTTGAAATCCTCAAGTTTGTCAACGCCGTGGTCAACGAGTACGAGCAGGCGCCGGATGACAAGAAGAACCACATTGCCAAGGAGGGTGCCTTGAGAATGATCGGTACTCTGGCGCCTGTCATTTTGGGCAAGAAGAGTCCCATCGCCGACCAGGTCGAGTACTTCCTCGTCCGCTACGTTTTTCCCGACTTCACCAGCCCCCAGGGCTATCTCCGTGCCCGGGCTTGCGACACGATCGAGAAGTTCGAGCAGCTCAACTTCCAGGACCAGAACAACCTCCTCACCATCTACCGCCACATCCTCGACTGCATGGCTGACGTTGCCCTGCCTGTCCGTGTTACTGCTGCCCTCGCTCTGCAGCCCCTTATCCGTCATGACATTATTCGCACAAGCATGCAACAAAGCATCCCTACTATTATGCAACAGCTTCTCAAGCTCGCCAACGAGGCCGATATCGACGCTCTCGCCAACGTCATGGAGGACTTCGTTGAGGTCTTCGCCACTGAGTTGACGCCTTTCGCCGTCGCTCTGAGTGAGCAGCTTAGAGACACATACCTTCGCATCGTGCGTGAGGTGCTCGACAAGAACAAGGATAACGGTGACGATGAGTATGGTGACTACCTCGATGAGAAGAGCATCACTGCTCTTGGTGTTTTGCAGACCATTGGAACTCTTATCCTTACTTTGGAGAGCACTCCTGACGTTTTGCTGCACATTGAGGCTGTTCTCATGCCCGTCATCCAGGTCACCCTGGAGAACAAGCTGTACGACCTGTACAACGAGGTATTTGAGATCATCGACAGCTGCACATTCGCTGCCAAGGGCATCTCACCTACCATGTGGCAAGCTTTCGAGCTCATCCATGCTACCTTCAAGGCCGGTGCGGAGCTCTACCTCGAGGACATGCTGCCTGCCCTCGACAACTTTGTCCAGTACGGTGCTGGCCAATTGGTCCAGAAGCCAGAGTACATCGAGGCACTCTTCTCCATGATCTCTGATATGTTCAACGATAACAAGGTTGGGGGCGTCGATCGTATCTGCGCTTGCAAGCTGGCCGAGGCGATGATGCTGAACCTGCGTGGCCACATCGACAACTACGTTTTGCGCTTCATCGAGTTCGCCATGAACGTTCTCAACGCCCAGGATGTTAAGGTCAAGGCCTACAAGATCCACCTCATGGAGCTGGTCATCAACTCCATCCACTACAACCCCATCCTCACTCTGCACATCCTCGAGACCAAGGGATGGACTAACAGATTCTTCAGCCTGTGGTTCGGCAGCATGGGCAACTTCACCAGAGTCCACGACAAGAAGCTTTGCATTGTCGCCATCTCTGCCCTCCTCAGCCTCAAGGCTGATCAGGTTCCCCAGAGCGTTTCCGTCGGATGGCCCCGACTGCTCCAGGGCATCACTGAGCTGTTCAAGACCCTCCCGGCTGCCATGAAGAACAGGGAAGAGGCACTCCGTGACGATTATCACCTCGAGGCCGGCACGTACGATTATGGTGACGAGGATGAGTGGGCTGAGGATGAGGCCAACTGGAACGTCGAGGATGAGCCTGAAGAGGAAGAGGCTACCGAGGCTCGTGATGAGAGCACGGCGTACCTGGAGTTCCTCAACGAGGAGGTCAGTAGAAACCATTTGCTATCAAAGTCATTCGAACTAACTGTTATCAGGCCCAGAAGTTCAGCCGCGGTGTCGAGGACATCGAGTCTGAGGATGACTTGGGTGAAGACAGCGTTCTTCTTGAGTCTCCGCTGGACAAGGTTGACCCTTACCAGCTGTTCAGCGCTACTTTGATGAGTAAGTGATGGCTGCAGGTCCTAGAATGGCCTATGACTAACAAACGTACAGAGATGGAGGAGGAGCAGCCTCAGTTCTATCAGTCTTTGGCTTCTCATCTGACCGCCGAGGACCAGGCTGCCCTGCAGGGTGTCATGCAGAAGGCCACCGAAAATGCCCAGGCCGCCCAGCTGGCCCTTGCCCAACAACAAGGTGCTGCCCCCGTCAACGGCGGTGCCAGCTAAAGCCCTACCCGCGATTTCATCGATGACCGAGCCGGGCCCCTCCACGACACGGGGTTTTTATCTTCTTCCCGAGCAAGAACGTAGTCTTCTCTGACCGCCCCGGTATTATGACGTGAGAGGGAGACGCGAGATGATCCGAGTGAGCCGCTGCCGCTACGCACGCCGGTGGACATGGCGCGCAAGTGCCGAGGAGTTGTTGTGGACGAGCGGTCACAGGAGAAAGATTGACGAGGCAAAGAATTACGATTATCCCCATCCCCTTAAGAGTACAAGAGGCCCCAAAAAGGAAAGATCTTCAAGAGCATTAGAGCGTGCAAACGATGGCTGGAGGCCAGCTGGATATGAGAGATGATGCTGCAGCGGGGAGCTTTGGTAGGTGCTCAGAGCAAGGCTTCCCCCTATTTGTTGTCTGCGTGGGAAGCCCAGGGGAGGAAAATAGTCTTGTTGCAGCTTATTAGGTGTCAGTGAGGACACTTCGATTGTCATCATGGCCGTCGTTTACTGTCGGCAGGCATAGCGCTGTGGGAGGCCTGCGTGTGGAGGTTGAAGCTCATGATGTCAGAGTTTTCTAGGTAGTTTAAATTCCCCCCAACTTCAAGAATCAGAATCAGTTCACAACCACCTGTCTCGTTGCTCTATCCTATTGCGGGTGAGTAGTGATACCAACGATGGCATCAACTCATAGCTTTATGATTTTGTAGCTTCGTGTTTCCGTTAGTATCAGTTGTCTCCCGAAACCTTTACCTAGCGACAACGGATACATGCCCCGCGCAGTGTTGATCGAGGAAATGATGGCCTTGTTCGCTCACTAGTTATGGCATAGTTGGCATTTACTAGGTTAGACATGCTTCCTTCGAGAGGCTGGGTTGCACATCGCCCTTGATCGCAGCGGGTAGACGTTCTCGCGGATAGATGACAATCCGCAAAAGGGCGGCGGGCACGAATGTTACAGCTAGAGCGCTACAAGACGATATTCCTACTTTATTTATTAAGTGACGCACTTGGCGGATCGCGTGGGCATCATTGACGCAAATGCGATGAACCACGTAGGTGCTTCTCATTCCGAGCTGGTAATTTTCTTCACTGCATTTTGAACCCGCTCCGTAGGTTCAAGTTTGGCAACGTACGTGGGATTCCTCCAATCGAGGATTGTCGCTATTGCTCCTTCTGCTTGCACCTTGAAACAGCACGTAGTTGATTGGGCTGACTTGGGAAGTATTAAAAAATGCTTATACCAGCGGGCATCATAACAGAATGGATTGGCAGAGCAAAAGTGGCTCACCTCTGACGTTTCTGCACTTTCGTCTGTGATGGCACCAACTGAGACTACAGGTTGCCAATCGAGTAAGCCCGCTCGTTTTGTTTTCGCTTTGGGGGGCGGGGTTTGGATGATATCAAGACACCAGGCACGAAACCGTTTAGAAATACAGGTTAGCTTCACTCTTCACTGCATTTTGAAACCGGCCCGAAGTGTTCTAAGTCTAGCGATTTCATTCAGCTAAGGGTTCCTCCGGATGGGTTAAGAATGCAGTGAAAGTGAACTCGGGATCCCGTCCGCTCTGCGATAGATAAGCCCATGAGCGGGGGAAGGAGGACTGGAGTAGGAAGAGTAGCTAAAAAAAAAAAAAAAAAAAAAAAAAAAAANACACCGGGCATTCGCCGGTCGTCACCGACCCGACTACTACTCCAGCCCTCATTGGCTTATCTATGGGAGAGCGGACGGGATCCCGAGTTTTCCAATGGGTATGGTCGTATGTGTCATGGTCTCCAAGCAAAGAGGACTATATTGTGCGCAGTGCAGGGTCGGGAACAACGTCTTTGAGAGGGCAAAGGGTTCGCAAGTGGCTCTACTGATTGGCACTGTCGTACTCAGCGCTTTCGACGAATCAGATGGGCCTTATGGTTATTTGAGCTTTCAGCGGATGACATATGGTGCTACTTCAGACGACTTGGGAGCGGCGCGATTGAAGGCTACATTAATCTGAAATCGTGACTTCGGGACAGCCAAATAACCTTCTTTCTCCTAGTGCATGTTGTGAAAAGAACGCTTCCCCACCGGTCACTTCGTTGTCTCGAGTCAAAATATTTTCAATGAACCTCACGGTTGTCTCCAACCTCTTGGCAGCTCGATACTCAGCATGTGTTTGCTCTGGAAAACAGTTGCCGTACTAGGCATGTCTCTCGTGGTTCTTGACTGGCTACCCTGTGCGCGGAAGCGGGTGAGGAAGCCGAGAGAAGAGGTGCGGCGATATCTGGACTGCTCCAACAGAGGGAAACAACGTGCAAACATAATTCCGCTTGCATTCACCCCCTGCGAATATATTCCCGTTTGCCGCGTCGTTTTTCTTCAGCTCCACACTGATCGCTGCAAAGAGGGAAGTATGCCTTGGCGCGCATATGCATGTTGGCGCTTCTGTTGGTTCCTCTTCCCTGGGGGCCGGGCCTGGGGACTGTCTCGCCAACAATAAAGGGCTGTCCACCCCTCCGCAATCTCCAGTAGCCCCGTTCATCTTTGCAATTGAGGTCGAGGTTTCATTCAGTGTCGCGTTCGATAAGTTGTGATTGAAGTCCACCGAGGTTCGAACGCATACCGATCGTCAGCACGGCCATGGCTGAGACTCGCGCGATCGACCACGAGGTGGCGATCGCTGCTGACGATGTGAGCATTGCTCCTCCGAATCTTGTGGGTTTACTAACGATGTAACAGGTGACTGACGATAGCGCATCGGAATCAGGAGTAAGCTGACATTACCTATCTCTGATTCTCCTGGTGCTGTATTGTGCTTGAACTCGATCGCTCACGCCGTTTTGCATAGAGTTTCGCTCTTTCAAGTAAAAGTGTGACCAGTTCTCTCCTTCAGTATCGAGTGGAGAATGGCAGAACCTATCACTTCTACAAGGAAGGCAGTAAGTTTATTTGTTCTCGCTGTCGAAACTTTGACTTACGAATGCCAGAATATGTCATGCCGAACGACGACAGAGAAAGCGACAGACTAGGTATGTATCTCACAAGCAGCTTGGTTCTTCAAATACAGTGCCACTGACAGAGAAGCCAGACGCTCAGCATCGAATAATGATCCACACACTGGGAGGCTGGCTTGGATTGGCTCCCCCGTGCGACCCCGAGGCCAAGGTCGGTCGCGTCCTTGATGTCGGTACAGGAACTGGAATCTGGGCGGCCGACTTTGGCGCAGTACACCCTGAGGCTGATGTAAGTCATACCGTGTGGAAATCTACATAATAGTCGCTTGATTTCTCGGTCTCCGCGTTGCAGGTCCTTGGCATGGATCTCTCTGCCCCGCAGATAGAAATGTAAGGATGCACCCCTCCCATGGAAGACTCCCGCACATACCTAATCATTGTCGTTTCTCAGCGCCCCTGATAACGTTAGGTTCGAGATTGATGACCTGGAGGAGGAGTGGATCTACTCGCGCCCGTTTGACTACATCCACCATCGACTGCTGAACTCGTGCATCAATGATTGGGACGCGTACTTGACCAAGATTTATGAGTAAGATTTCATGTCTACTTTCCATGCTTATTTAGCTGACAGCACAAAAGAAATCTGGTGCCAGGTGGTTACGTGGAGCTACAAGAGGGCGAGATCCGCCTGAAGTCCGACGACGACACTCTTCCCGCCGACAGCGACCTGGCCAAGTATATTGACCTGCTCCAAGAAGCCGCGGAAAAGAACGGCCGCAAGTGGATGGACATGCGCGCTGTCAAGGCTAAGATGCTTGAGATTGGTTTCGTCGATGTAGAACTTTACTACTACAAATGGCCGATCAACGATTGGCCCAAGCATCAGTATTATAAGGACCTAGGAACCTGGAACTACGAGAATACCTCCGACGCCCTCGAGGCTATGTGCGTGGCCCTTTTCACCCGCGTTCTCGGATGGAAGCGGCACGAGGTCAACGTCTTCCTCATCGGTGTCCGGAAGGATCTGAAGAACCGGACTTATCACGCCTACTTTCCAATGTGAGTACCTTCCCAAGGTAGACATGTCTTCCTGGTGAGCGTTACTGAAGAGGCGTCAGCCCCATCATTGTTGGACGCAAGCCAGAGGCCAAGAAGACTCCTGCGAAGACCGATGCCTAAATGGGCAAAAGCAGACATTGATGAAGCATCCATGATCTCTATGACGTGTATACAATCAGAAGGAAAAGAAACGCTGGACAGCAAGAAACTCGGACTCAGCTGGGATCGAGTGTTTCCGGGAAAATGACTGACGAAGCGATGTCAGGACTTCAGCACTACTCGCTGCAGTCAAGTATATAGGCACTTGCCGCAACCTTATATAAGCCAATCATGTCTCGCATCTTCAACGTTTTGATAGATCAACCAGAAAAGAGTCACACATCTTGTCTTCTTAGTTTCCATTACACTAAAGAGGGGAAGTCGTCCAGGAAAGCGGTCCAGGCCAAGTCAGGTGCAACAATCACAAGGTACAGGGATGGCGGGGAAAGCTGCCAGCGCCGCGTTAGTGGTTGGCGCCGAGCCCAAACCGCGGGTAGCGGCGGCCTCCGGGAGATGGTTTAGCGGGATCCGACCCCTGATTACTGGTGCATTCCGGCGACAGCTGCAGCGGTGTCGCAGGGCGCCTGGGCTCTGCAGTTGGTGGTGGGGGGATCCACCTGTGGAATCTCAAGTGTCAACATCACTTCACCTCTTGCTCACCGTTGACTACACTTCCTCTCTTTTCCCTCTTCTCAGCCTCTTGAATCTACCGAACTTGTGTGAAAGCGTACGAATCGAGTGATTCCCGGATCGATTAACTCAACCCAGGCACCTAGCGTCAAGACTCTACCGACCTAAGAGACGCCTTAACCCTTCCCCGCTCTTCCCCAACACGGCCAACATGACGACCAGATACAGAGTAGAGTGTGGGTAATACTTTCCGGTATCCGTCTATCATGTAACTAATACACACTCAGATGCTCTGAAGACTCACAGAAGAGATCAATTCATCGGTAAGACAACACCAGCGATGTTTCTCGGCAGCCCGTCCCGCAGCACGTATCCGAGCACTTGATGCCAGCTTCACCGACCCCTCTCTCACCAGCAAGGGCCGAGGTATCACCAAGCTCATCACCGGGCAATTCATCTCAGACAATGGCCCGGATGAGATGAGATGATCTTCGAAACCTCTTGCCATATTCTCGTCATAAATCCCACGAAACGACTCAACTGACATGTCCCGCAGAATGGATCAAAGGCCTCCTCGCCGTCCCCTTCGTCCTCTACTCCCAACCCACCGGAGTATTCGACACAAACACAACAAACCTGGACCGCATGCGCGAAGAAGCTCACCGCCGCTACGCCGAGATCTTCCGTGACGTCGAGCACATGATTGACGACCACAGTAAGCCCCAATCTCTCACTCACTCATCATCGGTCACCCACTAATGCTCCCTCCCCCCGCAAAGTCGGCCGCCAAAACGAATCAAACAACCTCCCCTCGAAACTAAAGATGCTCGTCCCCAGCGCAGGGCCCTTCTTCACCCGCCTGCCCCTCGAGGCGGCCTTCAACCACATGGACAGCAAGCGGTACATCTCCTCCCGCCGCTATGTCTCACCCTCCTTCAACGACGTCCGTCTCATCCTCAACTCGGCCCAGATCATGGCCGTTACGGCCGGGTCGCTGCAGCTCGTCACCTTCGACGGTGATGTCACGCTCTACGACGACGGCGAGAACCTGGAACCCTCCAGCCCCGTCATCCCCCGTCTCCTCGGTGAGCAGCCGCAACATCCTCCCCGTCACCTCTGAGAAGCATCTAACACCCTCCCGCAGACCTCCTCCGCAAAGACATCAAAATCGGCATCGTGACAGCCGCGGGCTACACCACAGCAGACCGCTACTACGCCCGCCTCCACGGCCTCCTCGACGCCATCGCCGCCTCGGAAACACTCACGCCAACCCAAAAAGAATCCATCGTCATCATGGGCGGCGAAGCCAACTACCTCTTCGAGTACTCCGCCGCCTCCCCGCACCGCCTCGCCCCCGTGCCGCGCGACCGCTGGCTGACGCCCGAGATGGCCGCCTGGTCCGCCGACTCCATCGCCGCGCTCCTCGACGTCGCCGAGGCCGCGCTGCAGGACTGCGTCAAAACCCTCAACCTGCCCGCCACCATCCTCCGCAAGGACCGCGCCGTCGGCATCATCCCCACCGACCCCACGCTGCGCATCCCCCGCGAGTCGCTCGAGGAGACGGTCCTCGTCGTGCAGAAGATCCTCGAGCTCTCGGCGCTCGGCAGCCCCAACGCGCAGGCGGAGGCGGGGGAGCACGGCGGCGCGGGGCGCCCTGGCGTGCCGTTCTGCGCGTTCAACGGCGGCCGCGACGTGTTTGTGGACATTGGCGACAAGTCGTGGGGCGTCACGGTGTGCCAGCGGTGGTTCGCCGCCAAGGCCGGGCAGGCGGACAGGCCCATCGCCGGGGAGAACACGCTGCACATTGGCGATCAGTTTCTGAGCGCCGGCAGCAACGATTTCAAGGCGCGGTCTGTGGGAACGACGGCGTGGATCGCGTCGCCGGCCGAGACGACTGAGTTGCTTGACGACTTGAACGAGCGGGTTTAGACGGACGGACAGATGGACTCAAAGAGGGAGAGGGGGAGAGACCGCAACCGCACGAAGAGCGGCCTGTCACTGCAGGTACGGGGCTCATCTTTTCGAAGAGGGCTCACCGTGCAACAGGGACAATGGAGAGAGGAGGAGGGATAAAGGGGCCAAGTCCGGGAGAATTTGTTTCGGAGAGGGGATATGCATTGCCTTGCCTGTTTCTTTCGGTGCATCTTGATTTTGCCAGACGGGCGCTATTGCGGGGAAATGGAGGGATAGGAAGACTGCATTGCCTCTATCTACGGTAGAGAGTTAATTTATGACCTGCTTGCTCACGGCGCAACAGAGTTAGTTCATTAGTATGTCATATTAGGACTACCATGCTGAGGCCATCATGATCATGAGCAGAAACGAGCAGGGGCGTGAGAGTCAGCATTGACGATCATCAGAGGCATGTCACATGTCAGGCATTGTTTCGCACAAGGTTGACAAAAAGCGGCCGTCAGTGGCCGCATAAGCAATGGTATTCTGTATGACCAAACACTACATTGCCCTTTGTCTTTGGTGGCAACAGACAGCTTTGAAGCCGCCATTGATCCAGTGTCATTCTACCCCACCTCCTCCGTGTGGTTGGCATCTGATTCCAGCCATGACCACTTCCGCTCCGTGTACTCCTTGCCTTCTTGGGCGCCTTCCAATCTTGGGTCGAGACGTATGCGTCGCGGTACCCATGTAAAACAAAACCAAGCCAAATCATGAGGATTCCTTGTCCTCTGGGGGTATTGTGCATTTTGTGTCGAAACCATCAAATCCGTCCCTGAAAAGTAATGTTGCTCCGCGGGGCACTGGTCATTTCATCCAGTCGCCCCTTTCTATCGCCGTGGAATCGAAACGCAAACCGCTTGTCTCGCGGGATTATACAAAGGAAAAGAAAGGTGTTGAGGCCGGTCTATTCTGGCGACCTGTGCCAAGTGGTTGATGGAAGCCCATAACTTTGTACAGAAGCCCGGGACCGTATGTGCAGAAGGGGATCCGAGGATTATGAAATGTCCATGCGTTGTGTTGCGTCTGTAGTGTCGTGGAGACTAGCTCCCAATAAGAATTGTAAGCGACGAGAATGCCCCGTCAATGTTTAGAACATGGAGCCCAGAGGCGCGCCAAAGTTGGTGCTCTTCTTAAGCTTCAGAGGAATGTCGACCTCTTCGATCTTTGGCTGAGACTCGGAATCGTCGTCTTTGTCGATCGTAGAGCCAATGTCGCTGGCCGCGTCGGTGTCGGCCTTGGCAGCGAGGATGTTTTCTTTCTGCTCCGAGGGACCAGCCAGCAGATCATCGGCCGAGTCCCTCATACAGGTCGGCAGGGCATCCTCGCCGCGACTCACGTCCTCGAGCTTCTCTGACAAGCGGCGGAAGAAGATTTCGTCGTGGGCCGGAATGTTACGGATCATCAAAGGGCCCTTCAATCCAGTGTCGTCTGTTGCCTCCATAGGGTACTCCTCGTAGTCGTCCCCGAAAACGTCATCCTTGACATCGGACGACTCACCTCTAGCCCTGACGTCACAGAGGGTAGCTGGGTTGGAGCTCATGTCCGTCGGAGCCAGAGTAGGTGTAGAACCACCGGTGCCATCAGCAGCAGTGGGAACCTCAGTGCCAGGCGCAGTTCCCAAGTGAGACAACGAGTGACTAGGAGTGTGGCCGGCGTGCATCACGAGCCTGTCAGTCTCGGGCGCCGCAAGAACTTGCATGGTTTGCTCCTTGGAGGGGCTGCTGCGGCTTGCCTTGCCAGGCTCTCCTGGAGGCGACACATTCCGAGATGAGTTCTTGGAGTTCTCTGGGGTGACGCCAAAGTCGGTAAAGGTAGGCTTCTCGATGGCAGGCACCTTCAGAGGGACGCCTTCGAGTTGAGGGTTGATGATCTGGATGTCGACGATAGGAACCGGCTCCTCATCTTTGGGAGAAGCAAGGAAGTCGACGGCGTTGCTTGTGGTGGGCTGCATATTGGGGTTGAGGGGGATGAATGGCGAAGACTCTGGTTGTCTTGTGGGAGAAATCCTGGAACTGCCGGGGCTAATAAAGTGAGATCGGACTTGGGCCGGCGAAATGGAGGCTGAGGCAGAGCCGTTTGTTGGCCTCGGCTCGCCAGCGTGAGTGCCGTGAGAGAGGCCGAACCGCGCGTCATTGGGGTGCGAGGAGAAACCTGGGAAGGAAACTTCTGTGGGGCACTCGGCCCCACCGCCGCTTGTTCCTGTTCCTGAAATTGCAACAGTGACGCCGGCGACTTTGCCTGCCTTCTCTAGCTCGTAGCGGTGCAGCGCTCCTTGCAGCCGGTTCTTGTCGCCTTCGATCAGCGCGACTTGTTGCTTCAATAGGCGAATCTGCTCCAGCAGGTCCGTCTTCTCTGAATCCCAGGCGGAACGCTCTTCTTCCATGATGACGCGCTCCTCCTTGTAAACCTCTTCGACTCGCTCGCGGTTGGCTTCCATGTACTTGCGCTCCGCTTCCCAGGCCTCTCGAATGCGTGCATTTTGCTGGGCGAGTTTG